AGGAACATGGATGCACGGAAAATGGATGGAATGAATGGAAAGGAAACTGAGTCGAAAATAGATGGAAAATGGATGGCTTGAGTGACATGCAGGGACTGGAAGTGAAATGGGTGTGTGGGTTGCGTGGTTGGGTAACGTGTGAATCCCCCACCGCAGGGGGCCCGTGGTCGGGCCGAAGGCCTAGTGGAACATGGATGGCAAATTCATGGAAAAATGATGGACACTTGATGGAAAATGGAGAAAAATTGACGGAACGTGGCTGGACAAAGTAAAATGAATGGAAAATGGATGGAAAACAAATGGAACATGGATGGAAAATGGATGGAAATGGCTGCGACTTGAATGAAAGGAAATGCAAGGGCACGCAGGGGGTGGTTGGGTGGGTGCAGGAACGAGCCTGACGGGTCGGGTTCCCGGTGGCCGGCTGTGTCGCGTCAGCGTATATCAGCCCATTGTGAATACAACAAATGCGGCATTGTCGTTATGAGGCCGCTGCCTTTGACTTCTCTTCATTCGGCAAGTCCTTCGTCAGTGCCAAAGCTTGTTGGAGCTGAGCTTCCGCCACATCATGCGCTCCCAGCTTGGCATTTGCCTCGCAACGCGCTCACAAAACGCGTGCGCCATGCAGTTCTACTAGGTACACACGCTGCACACTGCGAGCCAAAGTTTGCTCGGCTCCTGCCTGCGCACTCCATCGAAGCGCCTCGACAGCGGTTGCAACTTCAGAGCTATGGAGCCTCAGGTGACGCCGTGGCTCAAATACTTGCAGAGTTGAAAGCTTTGACTGTGTCAGATGCGCCCGCCAAGTGGCTGGCAGAGTGTGCGCAAGGCACTTCGATAGTCTCCCAACCTGCATACGCCACACACCATGCCACAGCGCAACAACAGGAAGAGATCAAGAGGGCCACCTGAAAAGGCGAATGCCCTCCAGGAGCTCATCTCCAGCATCCTTGAAGCCCCACCAACCCATCAGTATGATGCGCTCGCACAGCAACAATGTCTGAGAAATGAGCTGAATGGTCAGAAGGGGCAGGAGAGTCAGCGCGTAAGGCCATCAATGGGCAGTCAATGTGTTGCTTGCACGGGATCAGTATGCTGGATGAGTATTCAGATTCCAAGAATCTACATGCATGTGTGGTCATTTCGAAGTGCTTAGGCTGAAGAGACCCTGAGCCAGATCACTTGCTGTGCATGATTGCACCGATCTGGTCATAGTGTTGAAATGCATGTCATTGCTCTTTGATTGATGTTTCGAACGGCGATGGCACGCAAAGTCTCAATCCAAGCCCGATGCCAGGGGCCATCCACTTTGGCACTGGTGAGCTGCATCTTGCAAATGTCCAGCAACACCTCATGTTGTCGAGAAATATTGAATGGCAGGATTTCGATTCTGCCCTTCTGCAGCCTAGCAGCATAGACTTCGTAGGGGAATTCTGACGCAGTGTCAGTCTCACATAACTGCCTGGAAGATTTGCCATCTTCCGTCAGCACGGTCGCTGGATCCAGGATCTTCATCATATGCATGGTGATTGCCTCTCAACAAAAAGCACATTGGTCGTGCCCTGCTCGTGCTTTCTAAATCCATCTTTTCGCCGTACCGTAGCCTTCAGCAATTCAAGTTGTATTTACTCATCACAGGTATGTCTTTCGAGTCTGCCTCTTGCACGGATAGCTAGCTTGTCCGGATCAAAGATATCTCGATACATCTGCTAATATGCATCTCTGTTGAGAAGACATAGAGGAATTCATCCGGCAAGTGATACCGTATACCTCAAGAGATGCTTGTATAACAACTGGACCGAATAGTGCTGAAGCACTTCAAAATATTCATACCGCCACGTTGCAGTAGATCAAGCATATCATGTCCCGTTGCCTCAACATCAACTGAGCGGACAAACCTTGGATTCAGGCTGATTGAGGCAGCATTTGTTGTGTGCAATGGCCGGCCAACGTTGCGCTCAGGCTCTGTTCTTTGTCCAGGGGAGTCATGTAGTTGAACATTCCAACACATACCTGATGCTGTGACGAACACTCACTCTCTGCGTTCGTCTGCAAGGCAAGCTGAAGTGCCTGAGCAAACGCTTCCGCCATCGACGAGCCCCACCTGAGTTGAGTCTCATGCTGGATCCACAAGCACAAAGGAACAAAGGGTCAAGGAAACTGGGAAGCAAAGGCACGCATGGACAATGATGTCCTCGTCTGTGTTCAATGGAGGGATCAAATGCCCATGCCAGCATTCCAAGTTCTAGCATGCAACACGATACAGAAAAGAAGCAGTCGGCATCCAACATCATGCTGAACCTGGAATTTTGTTGACTTGGGCAATATTCACAAATTAAGCTCGGGGCAGCTGTGTGATCATGATATTGAAATTGTCGAAGATCTTGCACATGAGCAGGAAGCCTTGCTGAAAGTGAGGCATTAGCTTCTCATCGAGCCATGCCTCTCACAGAATCATATTGCCAGTCTGGGCCTTCTGCGGCTTGATCCAGCCGTTTGCCTCGCCACGAGAACACATTTGATTCGAGGCATGGCGCAAATCACAGTGCCTTGCCGATAGAAACTGAGAATTCGCACAACTTCTGGGCGAGGCGCCGGGCGGCCCACAGTCAGCATGATCGACTCCATGCCCCGCAAACCCATCTGTGCTCGAGCAGCTGTGCATGTACGATGCACAATCCAAATTTGGCAACAACACTGTGGCCCTTACAAATGCAAATGTATCACCTGCAGTGCCCAAAGGTACACAAAAGCACTTGAACATGAAGTAGCCGCTGCCAAGGAACTGACAATGGCCTCCAGTCAGCTAAAGACTTTGGCCGCTGTCTCGCATCCAATTGCCAGGCCGTCGCTAGTCAATCTCAAATCAAGCAGGTTAAGACCTGTTGCACTGCTCCTAGCTTGAACCCAAACAACCCTCACAAAAGGGAGCCCACGAAGCGAGAAGAGCGCGCGTTCTTTTTTAACCGGGTTGGTGGAAAGTGCACTGCTTCTAGGGCACGCGGTGCACCTAGAGCAGGGGGAATGTTCACCCCTCCTTCAGTGTTTCCCACGCAACCCCGGTAAGGCAATACCGGCTCCCCCCTTTTCCGTGCGGGGTTGTGCCTGTCAGGTTGTCAACGGCAGACAACTGCAAAATGGTCCTGCGTGGCATGTGATGCAAGCTCAGTGTGACCATGCGCTCATTTTCCAGATGTTCTGGCCGCCATGGCGCATCGATAGGGCACAGTGTTAGACCTCGACCGGCCTGTGCAAGGCTGGCAGGGCTAAATCGCACTCTGTCCACAGGGCGGCCGTAAAAACGCGAGAGGCGACCTCTGCTGAGGTCATCGGCCCATTCATTGTAGCGCCCTGGCAAATGAGTGGGCTGCATGGGCCCATGATGCAATGAGCTGCACAAAATTTGCAAAGGCCAAGATGAGTAAACATTTTGTTAATGCCTGCCTCCGCTGCGGAATTGTCAGTGCCTGAAGGCAGACTGAAGCAGTAATGTCCGCCGCCTATATGGCTATGCGTTAGCTAATTTCAAAAGGCGTGCTCTGATATGCAGAAAAAACAGCCCAAAATAGGCGCGGCGCATGGTGCGGCGACATGGTACGCCTGATGGTGCGAGGTGCAGCGCGGGGTGCGGGGATACGGTACGCCTTGTGGCGCAAGGTGCGGCGCGGGGCCGCGGAAACGTGGTACGCCTTATGGTGCGGCGCGGCGCACCCTGTACCCGTACCGAATTAGCGGCTGAAATTCCAGAATTAGCAGCAGATTCTGCCGCTAATTCTGGAATTTCAGCCGCTAACTCGGTACGGGCACCCGCGTCGCGCGGCGTACCCTGTACCCGTACCGAATTAGCGGCAGAAATTCCCAAATTAGCGGCAGAAATGCTGGAATTTCAGCCGCTAATTTGGTACGAGTACATTAGTGGCAGAAATTCCTCAATTGGCGGCAGAATCTGCCGCTAATTCTGGAGTTTCAGCCGCTAATTCGGTACTGATACCCGTGCCGCGCGCCGTTCCGCACACCGCGCCAAACACCGCGCATTGACGAATTGCAGCACCGTGCCTTTGAGCAAGACCTCCCCGCCGCCCTCCGAGGACTGGGGCGCATGGGCCCACAGGTAGGCCATGGCCGCCACAAGGGATGTGAACCGGGGAGTGGTGGCCAATTCCGAACGGCGCGCAGGCCTGCTTTGGTGACTGGCTGAGTGTTGAACATGACGTCACCCCACGGGGTAGCTGGGAAGTTCCTGGCTGGTATAAGGGGCTCCACTAGCAACGTAAAGGCGGATATGTTGCTGAAGACACTTAACGAGTCCGCTTGCCGCGCGCCTCCGCAAATCCGCTAGTGCCCAAAGGAAACGTTAAGGTGGATATGTGTACGCAACCCCCCCACCATAAGCCCAGAAAAAAAGCACCGGTAGTAAGGTTATCCTAGTTTCACTGAGGTGCAAGGCGATGGATGCGATGACTTCCGCCTGTGCGTTCCACTTTGCTCCAAATCACGGAGCGCTCTGATGACATTGGCCCTACGGCCGGGGTCGCGGAGCATAATGAAGCCCTCCACAGTGGCAGGTGTTTTGAGGTCATGCCGCGCCGCAAAGGTGAGATACTTGCTGATGCGTTCCAGCAGATGGCCGCTAAGGCCAGACACATCAGGCCGCTGCATGGACCACGTGGGTGGCAGCTCGACGATCAGACTGTCGGCCTTGCGCGATGGTCGGCCATGCCACCGGGTAGGCACCAGCCACAGGGCCCGCGGGCGCATCAACCCTGGCCCACGCAGACTCGGCAGGGCGGGCAGGTGAGTCCACTCACCGCCAGCCCTCCGGCGGCGGAACGCGCGGCTGTCCCCTCTGACGCTTGGGTAAGGGAGCCGTGGTCATGGTTTCAGCAACCGGCCGCGCTTTAGGCGCCACATCAACACGCTGCAGGTTAAGGCAATTAGGTGCGCGCGCAAGGCAGGGAATGGCAGGCCATGGAGCTCCGCCTCGAAGGTCATCACTGTGCGCAAGCGAGGCGGCTGCGCCAAAGAAGACCATGCCAGAGACCGGCGCCTCACCACAATGGATAGCATCTGTCCCAAGCATCGCCGACAGGAAAGGTCACGGCATGACCGCACAGTACAAACCGGCCCTGATCAGTGAGGAAGGACGAAACTTCATTGCCGCCAATTTCCTGGCAACAGAAGACCAACAAATCATGGCTTGTTTTGGGGGGAGAGTCCCGCCAGGCGATGGGCAAACATGACAGGTTCTGCGGCGGCGCACCGCTTCATAGAGAGGGCGAGTGGGAGCTCGTTCGCAAGGATTTCATCAGTGCAAATCAGGCCAATCAGCAGGGGGTCACTGGCGCTGCGGAGCGCAGACATGCTGGCAAGTGCCTGAACCAAGAGGAAGTCAAAGAGTCTGGGCAACTAAAACACCAGACAGTCCTACTTTGAGGCCGCTCGGCCAATGGCCGTATCCTTATACGCCTTGATATCCATGAGGCTCCTCAGCGAGCGGTGAACAAAGGCATCAGCCGCATCATTTGGGTCCGCCTTCATTTCTAGCAGCAAGTCACAGTCGCCTGCAGAATCAACCAACCAAGCAGCCTTGCAAATCATGCGAGGATTGCGCTCGACCGAAGTGACCTTCATAAGCTGCTTTGGGTCTTGACAGGCGAGAGCCAAGGCAATATGCTGCAAGTAATCAGCAGACCGCACATCAAAGCCGGGCCATTGCACATACAGCTCGTCCATCCAACCAAAAGGTTAAGGCATGTTGCACTGCTCCTAGCTTGAACCCAAACATGAAACCTCAAAAGAACAAAGCTCGTCCGAAGAGGCCGCAGTTCTTTTTTTTTTACCGGGATTGCTGAAAGTTGCACTGCTTCCAGGGCACTAGTGCGCCTGGAGCAGGAGGCACATTGACCCCCCGAAATGTGAAAAGGCAAGACAATGCGTGTCCTTGCGTATAAATGCAGTGCTTGGGGGGCGCGGCATGCGTGCCCACGCCCCAAGGTCCGGAGACCGAAAGTCCGGAGACTCGAGGTCCGGAGATTGAGACCAAAGTGCCCGGAGGCCACCCGTGAAAGTGCAGAGAAACTGCTACCTATCCTTGCAAAGCCTGGCATAGGGCAGTGCAGGGCGGGTGGGTGGGTTTCAAGAAATGAAACCGCAGGTTTGGGTCAAGGCTAGGAGCAAAACGGCCAACGCATAGTTCGATTCACCACATGCCCTAAACACAAGGGAAAAGAAACCCTAAGCGTTAAGGCATGTTGCACTGCTCCTAGCTTGAACCCAAACATGAAACCGCAAAAGAACAAAGCTCGTCGGAAGAGGCCGCAGTTCTCTTTTTTTTTGCCGGGATTGCTGAAAGTTGCACTGCTTCCAGGGCACTAGTGCGCCTGGAGCAGGAGGCACATTGAGCCCCCCTTCAGTGTTTCAGGCAACCCCGGTAAAAGCGAACCCGCTGGGCCGAAGGCCTCATCACCCGCCCTTCAGAGTGGGGTTGTACCTGGCAGGGCACATGCTAGCGTGACCATGCACGCTGGGCTGTGAGCAGCTTGTTATGCAGTGACTGCACTTTTTCCCCGGTCAGAGCGGCTTGAGTAAGCGGCTGGCTGACGTCGCCAGTTGTTCTGGCTGACAGGGCAACGGCGGATATTTGGTCGCGAGGCCATGTCGGATGCAAGTTAGGCTGGTGCAGCGGTGACGGAGGCTGCTGCCAAATGCTCCGGGCGCCAGGGCGCATGCATCGGACACAGTTGAATGCCTCGGCCTGACTTCGCTAGGCTTCCAGGGCTGAAGCGTCTGCGACTTTCAGGGCGATGGCTGAACCGGGCTAACCGACCTCTGCTGAGATCGTCAGCCCAATCATTGCACCTTCCTGGAACGTGCGTCGGCTGCAGCAGCACATTGTGAGCGTGAGCCCAGAAGGCTGTTAATTGCACAAAGAGTTGCAACGGCCAGGAGCTCGTGAACAGTTTGTTAAGGCTTGCTTCCGTGGCGGAATTGTTTGTGTTTGAAGGCATGCTAAACGAGTAGTGCCCACCACCAATGTGGCTGTGGGTTGCTTGCAGCAGTGCTAACTGTTTCGAAGCATGCGATGCGCCGCTGTCCTGGCTTGACAAGGCAAGGCCACACGGCTCTTATGTCTTGCATGTTCCAGGTCTCGGCGAACCACACCACTTGGGAGGATGTGATTGCCCAGCCCCCGATTCCTACCATATCATCTTCGGCACACGCATCTGCGGCAGCCAGAGCTTGCAGCTGGTGTGGCCGCGCCAAAGGCTGAATAGGCGAGTGTCGAAAGCACGACGCCAGCCAAGTAAGGCACTGTTGGCTTGACTTGGAAAGGCTAGTGTATGGGTTGTTGGGGTCCGCGACGCGCACCCATGTGGGCTTGCTAGTGCCAGGCACTTGCGGGATGTCCTGGGGGCAATGCATGGCGCGGCCGCGCGCAAGATTTTGGAGCCCAAGCCCGGGAGGCTAAGTCAAGGATGCTCTAAAGGCTGACCACATTTG